GTTTTGGTGTATCCGTAATGGAAGGAGTGAGAATAAGATGCGAAGCTGGGCGATCTCAAGTGGCCAGAGTAGAAGGTGCACAAATATATGCCCTCTCTCTAGATTTTAAAATTCAAGCGGCGCCACGAGATAATACTGTACACATAAAACTATATGTTGTTGCGCAGAGGGGGGGGGGCCACCCCCCCCCCCCCCCCACCATGTTCGGTTGGTTACCTGATAATGAGGGCTGTCAAAGTTAGCGAGTTAATCTATGAGATTATTGTGGCTGAGATTAGGAAGCCAATAAACCAATATTAATATCCAACATGATCACATGTGTGGAGATTGTGTTTAAAATACAATTAAGCAGAGGACGGCTAAAGCGTGCACTAATCTTGATCGTGATTAATCTACATTAATGATACGTGAATTTTTTTTTTAATCTATTGACTCCGAGGACTTTACAGTCTGTACACAAGTGACATCTGCTGACCTTTGACCCCCCCCCAAAAACTGAGGGAGAGATCTCAGTGTTATGTAAATCTAAGACACACATGCATTATGTCTATTAATGAGTCAGCACAAATCGTTCACATGATGAGGATTTATTTTGTATAATTAATAGCCTAAAGAATTAAAGATAAAACTAACAATCAATGTTTGTGTTTGTTTGGTCTCAGCTGACTCCAGATGAGTGGAAGGTCATCGGGATGATGACTAGAAGCGCAAAAGGCTCCTAGAGCATTCCAAAGCTCCTCCAAGGGCCACAGCCACCAATCAGAAGATGTCGTTCTGGTGGACCCGCCCACCTGCTGATGTCATCATGATGAGAGAAGATTATGTCTTGTTACTAAAAGACTATTAACAGAAACACGTTTAGTCATGTGACTCGCAGCACACGATCCCTGTGAATTTACATGTGTTTGTCAGTTTGATAATAAAATACTGAAGTTTAACCACAACTGTTTGTTTGAGAGAGATCGAGAGAGAGAACGAGAGATCGAGAACGAGAGATCGAGAGAACGAGAGAGAGAACGAGAGATCGAGAGAACGAGAGATCGAGAACGAGAGATCGAGAGAACGAGAGATCGAGAGAACGAGAGATCGAGAGAACGAGAGATCGAGAGAACGAGAACGAGAGATCGAGAGAACGAGAGATCGAGAGATCGAGAACGAGAGATCGAGAGAACGAGAGATCGAGAACGAGAGAACGAGAGATCGAGAGAACGAGAGAACGAGAGATCGAGAGAACGAGAGATCGAGAGAACGAGAGATCGAGAGATCGAGAGAACGAGAGATCGAGAGAACGAGAGAGAGAACGAGAGAGAGATCGAGAGACTTGTCGAAGGAGAACAACGAGTTTTTGGATGGAGGATCTTTGCAGTGTCAGTGGTCTCGATCCTCTCTGGGTGAGTTTAAATTAAACTGCTGTTTGATTAATAGAGTCATGTTAAAATACAATGGTATAACAATAGTGGCAGAGTTGAAATCCCATATATATTTAAATGAATTTAAAGGGGAAACGTTTGCTTTACTTTTAAAATTTAATTCCTCACGTTAATAACAGCCCTCACCTATTAGCATGTTAATACACACCTCCCCGGTTAGCATTTTAATACACACCTCACGGTTTAGCATGTTAATACACACCTCACCTGTTAGCATGTTAATACACACCTCACCTGTTATGCATGTTAATACACACCTCACCTGTTAGCATGTTAATACACACCTCGCCCGTTAGCGTGTTAATACACACCTCGCCCGTTAGCGTGTTAATACACACCTCGCCCGTTAGCGTGTTAATACACACCTCGCCCGTTAGCGTGTTAATACACACCTCGCCCGTTAGCGTGTTAATACACACCTCGCCCGTTAGCGTGTTAATACACACCTCGCCCGTTTGCGTGTTAATACACCCCTCGCCCGTTTGCGTGTTAATACACCCCTCGCCCGTTTGCGTGTTAATACACCCCTCGCCCGTTAGCGTGTTAATACACACCTCGCCCGTTTGCGTGTTAATACACCCCTCGCCCGTTTGCGTGTTAATACACCCCTCGCCCGTTTGCGTGTTAATACACCCCTCGCCCGTTAGCGTGTTAATACCTGTTAGCATGTTAATACACACCTCGCCCGTTAGCATGTCAATACACACCTCGCCTTTTAGCATGTCAATACACCCCTTGCCCGTTAGCATATTAGCACCCCTCTCTTTTGACTACCAGGTGTAAACACTGACTTGTTTTCTGGTTCCAGGATTGGAACCTGACCTGGTACACCTCCCAACCCGATCTGACCCAGTGTTTCCAGCACACTGTACTGGTGTGGTCACCTTGTGTTTACCTGTGGATTTGCTCCCCGTTTTACCTGTTGTACCTGTGGCTCCGCCCAGACAGAGGTGTCATCCCTCTGTCCAAACTCTGCTGCAGCAAGACGGTATGAAAAAAGTGCTGAGGATAAACCAGGTACAGGTTCAGCTGGTTCCTTTTGCTGCAGAGGTTCACCTCAGGCTGGCATAGACCTCCCTCTTTCTCTCAACTCCTTTTTGGAATTCAAATCCAGTTTGGAGAAATTCCTCAGATCTGTGATATTTGCAGATGCCGCTGCGGCCATTTTGACTTTGCGTTTTGCAGGGATTACACTTACAAAAGTAGCTGGTCTAGTGGCGTCAGCTGCGCAAATGTCCAGTAACATCTCGGATTTAATTGGTACATGTTTTATACGTAACGTAGATGACCACTTTTTATTTTTTTACTATTTTTAGTAACAATACATAGACAAAACAACAAGGGAACAACAAAATGGTGAACTACAAAACAACATATGGTCAGGGTATGCGAGATTGGTGTGTGTATGTGCATGTAACATAAGATATTCCTTTATTAGTCAGCAGTGTGTGTGCGTTTAGACAGCGGAGATGTGCTTTTTGAAGTACATTTTCTAGAATACAGGATCGAAGTGCGCATTAGCAGGAATTTTGTCAGCACGTCACTTATCTAAACTTGGTTCCTCTGTTCTCTCTGGACTTTGTTGCAGCTCCTGGGTCTCAGTCTGGCCTCCTTTGGTCTTGTGGAGATGCTTTTTCTTCTGGTGACAAAGAATGAGGAGATTCAGAAACACTCATTGATCGTGATTGGTCCGCTAATCAGGAGCCTCACTCTGGTAGGTTCTTCTCCAGGAACCAACCAATCAAATGGGTTTACCAATGTACTCTGAAACAGAAACCTTCTCACCTCATCCTCCTCTCCTCCATCAGGTCCTTGCTGTGATCATCCTCCATGTAGAGAGGATGAAGGGCTGTCGTTCCTCCTTCCTCCTCTTCCAGTTCTGGATTCTCCTGGTCCTCTGCTCCCTGGTTCCTCTGAAGGTCGACATCGAGCAGATTATTGATCGGGTATCAGTTATTTCATAACGGTCCATACCTAGAATGAGACCTCCTGTGGATGTCATGTGTGAATGTTCTGTGTTCCTCTGCAGAATGTCACACAAACATGTATACACAGTAACACACATTCTTTGTTTTATATCTTCATCTCTCTTCTTTGGTGTTTCAGGGCTTCTCTTCAGATTCTTCTCGTCTCCTCCTCTTCTTCCTTTGTTTTTTTCTCCAACTCATCCAGCTTGTCCTCAGCTGCTTCTGTGACCTCCGACCTCTGTGTGCCAAGCAGAGCTACGTGCAGGTAACACACACACACACACACATCAATGTCCAGGTAACACACACACACACACACACACATCAATGTCCAGGTAACACACACACACACACACATCAATGTCCAGGTAACACACACAGACTTTATCAGTATTTCGTCATGAGACTTGTTGAACTTTCTTTGGCTCTTAGAACCGATGTCCGGAGGAAGACGCCTCTTTTCTCTCCAACTTCTTCTTCTCCTGGTTCAGCGGGTACGAACTCTGTCATTGCATCATTTCTGTTTCCATAGCAGCAGGTGCGGGTCGTTGTCATGGACACCGTTCCGGAGACCTAGACAGTCTTTTTGAAAATCAGTAAAGCAACAAATTAAATCTCCAGAAATAAAGTTTGTAACATCACAAAATACTCCGACATCATCACTCATACCAGGTGGGGTGGTGTTCTGTCCTCCACATAGTTTGGTGGTTCGGGGTTACCGGCACCCCCTGCAGGCTGCAGACCTCTGGCCTCTGCGGGACCAGGACTCATCGATCCGGATCATGACGGACTTTGAGAACTTGTGGGCCCAGAACTGCAAACCTCTTCAGTAGGATGCTTTTAATGTTTGGATCGATGTCGAATCAGGAAGATGTGTGTGATGTCACTGTGATGTCATTGCAGCGCCCAATTCCTTCAATCTAGTGTCCTTAAAAAATCTGCTGATGAAACAGAATATCATATTACTTTTATTGTGAAACATGGTGATATTTAAAGCGTTGATTGGGTGTCAACAGTGTGACTCGGACTGCTTACCTGCCAAGGTGAGACGGGCATTACAGGTGAATTCAGTACCGGTTACCTGATCGTTTGTTCTAGGGAGGAGCCTGATAATGTTGAGCTGACCCAGAACTGGACCCAGTCCACGACCAGTTCCGGGTCTCTGTCCAGGGCCTGGGATTTTGATGCAGTGACCGAAAAAACCCAACTGCTGAAGAAGAAGAAGAAGGGGCAGAAGGGGCAGAAGGGGCGTGGCTACGGGATCTTCCTCCTGCACACTGTGGCCTGCAGCTTTGGGCCGTACTTCTTGTGTGGAACTCTCTGGCTCCTTCTGCATGAAGTATTCATGTTCGCTGTGCCACAGGTGCTCAGGTGAGTCACAGAGGTCAAGTAAGGTCACAGAGGTCAGGCAATGTTGTTTTCCATTGATGTTGTTATATTTAGTGGTGTTGGTGTTTATTCAGTTTATTGTTGCTGTTGTTGATTACTCTGTTTTTGGTCGTTTGTTGTTTATTGTCGTTAGTCTGCTGCTGGCCTTCATCAGCGATGAAGACGCTGCCATGTGGAAGGGCTTCCTGTTCTGCTCACTGCTCTTCCTGCTCTCCTGCCTGCAGTCGCTGCTCCACCATCAGTATATGTTCCACTGCTTCAGCGTGGGGATGAGGCTGAAGACCGCGCTCATAGGCCTCGTCTACCGGAAGGTGAGACACTTGGTACCGGAGGGTGAGACACTTGGTACCGGAGGGTGAGACACTTGGTACCGGAGGGTGATACACTTGGTGTCAGAGGGTGAGACACTTTGCACAGGAGGGTGAGACACTTGGTACCAGACGGTGAGACACTTTGTACCGGACGGTGAGACACTTGGTACCAGACGGTGAGACACTTTGTACCGGAGGGTGAGACACTTGGTACCAAAGAGTGAGACACTTGGTGTCAGAGGGTGAGACACTTTGCACAGGAGGGTGAGACACTTGGTACCGGAGGGTGAGACAGAGTTTTCTTATTAATCCACAGTGCCTGCTGCTGAGCAGCGCCGCTCGCCGTCGCGGTGATGTGGGAGAGATCATTAACTTGGTCTCAGCCGACACTCAGAAGCTGATGGACTTTGTGGTTTACTTCAACAGCCTGTGGGTCACGCCCATCGAGATCACACTGTGCTTCTACTTCCTGTGGCAGGTAAAGAAAGACAAGATGGCCGCTGGTGGTTTCCGTTGTTTAAGGTCAATTTTATCCTTGTGTTTTTTTGACTGGACTTTATTTGACTCTGATTGATTTTTCAATCAGAGATTGATGAATCCATTTTTTTTGGATTGATTTATTGATCGATTGACTGAACACCTGTGATCGATTGATGGATTGATTGACAGCTCCTCGGCCCTTCTGCTCTTGCTGGTATCGTCCCCGTGGTTCTGATTGTTCCTCTGAATGGATTGATCGCCAAGATGAGAAGCAAACTTCAGGTGAGAGAAGTGACTTTGAATCAGAAATGGATCGACGTGTTGATCAGGTTATGGAGCTGATCACCTCATCGTGTTGTTTCAGGAGATTCAGATGAAGTTCACGGATGGTCGTCTCAAACTGATGAACGAGATTCTGAGCGGCGTGAAGATCCTCAAGTTCTACGCCTGGGAGGACGCTTTCCTTCGCCGAATCGGCGTCCTGAGAGATGGAGAACTGGAGACCCTGAAAATGTCTCAGGTCCTCCACTCAGTCTCTCTGGCCTCCTTCAACTCCTCCTCCTTCTTGGTGAGTCCCCCCAACTGCCGGTGACATTTGAAGATGTCATTCGTTATAGAGAAGAGTGTTGCCATGGTTACTCCAGTCATTCTGTCTTCAGATCGCCTTGTCTGTGTTTGCGGTCTACGTGACGATCGATGACAGAAACCTTCTGGACGCTCAAAAGATCTTTGTGTCCGTCGCTCTGATCAACATCCTGAAGACTCCTCTGAGCCAACTTCCCTTCGCCATGAGCGCCACCATGCAGGCGAGTCCTGGCCCATGACAAGCCTCCCCTCTGGGACGGCAGGGGCGCAAGGGGGGGCCCACTAACCTCCGTTCATGAGCTAAAAACTTTAAAGCCAGCTAATTATCGTGGCAGTCAAACTACAAGTTCCTAGTCCGTTCTGTGATGTCATGTGACGGGGACAAACCGACCAGTCAGCGCTCTGCTGAGTTTTAGCTCCACCCGCCGGGGTCGGCTGGAATCGACATGGTACCAAAGCCGTCATGTGACCACCGTTCATCTGCATGTTTATCAGGCCGTCGTCTCGCTCAGACGTTTGGGAAACTTCCTGAGTCAAGACGAGCTGAAGGGCGACAGCGTGGAGAGACTTCCTCGCAGCTCCGGTACGTCACCACGCACACAGATACTGCTAGCTTAGCTGTTAGCCTAGCTTGGCACAAAGACAAACTGTTGGGTGAGACGAGTCACAGGATCACAGCATCAAAGGTTAAAGTGCAAACAGACATGATATAAGAAACCAGATGAAAAACCTTGATAAATTAGTCAGTGGCTGAAGGAGCTGCACAGCGTCCTGCATGGGGGGGTTATGGACCATAGCCGCGCCCTAAAGCGCCCCCTGCTTTATGGTCTGTTTGCCTCTAAATAGACCATAATCTACTAAATGAACATCATGCTGTGTTGAAGAAGACTTGAAACTAGAGACGGAGACCATAAACTTCACATTAGAAAAGCAGATGTTGTCTCCTTTAGCCCTCAACGCCGTAAACAGACTTCACACACGCTGCTTGAAGCAACGCTGTCGCACGGAGACGTTTACTTGCTGAAGAGTAAATGAACTGCATCGATGCAATCATTAACTTACAGAAATATGTTAACCTCATTCCTAAATGTACAGAAACCGGCATCTGATGACTAGAGCCGGCTGGTGGTACCACATAGAACACAATAGAACCTCATAGACCCACATAAAACCCCATGGAACCATGTTGCCTCTGCAGACGGAGACGCCGTGAGGATCGAGGACGGCTGGTTCTCCTGGACTTGCGACGGGCCGCCGTGTCTGCAGGGGATCAGCGTGAAGGTGAAGCCGGGCTCCCTGGTGGCCGTGGTTGGCCATGTTGGTTCTGGGAAGTCTTCTCTACTGTCGGCCATGTTGGGGGAGATGGAGAGGAGGAGTGGCTCGATCTCCATCAAGGTGACGATAAACAACATCTGTTATTATCAGTTTGCTTCAGTTTGGTTGGTTTCAGCTTTATTTAAGACGTTTTATTGAAACTGTGACATCAAAACGAGCTAACATTTTTAGCTCTGTTAAGATATGATAGTGCCGAGCTATGATAGACGCTATCCAGCAGTCGCTTGACTTCCTCGCTCACACCGAGACCTGGATCACACCGAAGAACACCTCCACCCAGCCGCTCTCTGCTCCACCTTCTCCTTCAGCCACACACCCAGGCCCACTGGTAGGGGTGGTGGCACAGGTCTACTGATTTCACCCAAATGGAGCTTTTCTCTTTACCCTCTTCCACCGTCCACCCCACTGTCATTCCGATTACCGCTGTAACAGTCACTCACCCGGTGCAATTAACCATCGTTGTCCTTTACCGTCCGCCAGGCTCCTTGGTCATTTCTAGGAAGAACTGGACATTCTCCTGTCCAGGCAATAGTCAACCCTCTCCTGAAGAAACCCACCCTCAACCTTCTGAAGAAAACAACTACAGACGGTCTCTCTTCTTCCCTTTTTGTCCAGAACTCTTGAACGTGTGATCTTTAACCAACTCTCCTCCTATCTCCACCATAACAACCTCCTTGACCCCCACCAGTCAGGCCGCAAGGCCGTTCCACAGAGACTGCTCTCCTTGCTGTCTCAGAGCAACTCCACACAGAGCTCCTCTCTGTCCTCTGTCCTCGTCCTTCTGGACCTCTCTTCTGCATTTGACACAGTCAACCACCAGATCCTCGTCTCCTCCCTTCAGGAACTTGGTGTCACAGGCTCTGCTCTCTCCCTTCTCTCGTCCTACCTCGACGGACGCACTTACCGGGTAACCTGGCGAGGATCCGTGTCGGAACCTTGTCCTCTTACTACTGGAGTTCCTCAGGGTTCCGTCCTGGGTCTCCTCCTCTTCTTGCTCTACACCAACTCATTCGCTCGCATGGCTTCACCTACCACAGCGATGCTGATGACACCCAACTAATTCTCTCTTTCCCTCACTCGGATCTCTGCCTGTCTTACTGACGTCTCTCAATGGATCTGCCCACCATCTGAAAATCAACCCCGACAGACTGAACTACTTCTCTTTCTGGGGAAAGATTCTCCTTCACAGGACCTGACTGTTAACTTTGAGACTCCGTGTTAACGTCCACTTTGACTGCAGGAACCTCGGCGTGACGTCGACAGCCGACTCTCCCTGACTCCAACATCACTGACACCATCCTGTAGATACTCGCTCTACAACATGAGGAGAACACGTCCTCTTCTCACTCAGAAGGTACTGATTCAGGCTCTGGTCGTCTCCCTCCTGGACTACTGTAACTCTCTCCTGCAGGTCTCCTGCTTCCACCATTCAGCCTCTGCAGCTCATCCAGAATGCAGCAGCTCCACTGGTCTTTAACCTTCCTAAGTTCTCCCTCACTCCTCCACTCCTCCGCTCTCTTCACTGGTACCGGTGGCTCATCCAGTTCTAAACATGGTGCTCACGTACCAGGCTGTGAATGGATGGGGTCCAGCTTACATCCAGGACCTGGTCCAACCCGACATCCCGACCCGCACTCTCCGCTCTGCATGTGATAAACTGCTTGTTCCTCCTCACTGAGAGCAAAACACTCGACTAGATCTCCACTCTTTGCTGTCCTGCTCCTAAATGGTGGAAGGAGGTCTGTGAAGACATCAGGACCACAGAGAGCCTTCACATCTTCAGACTAAAGACACACCTCTTCAGACTCTACCTCCACTAACACACTAACTAACTGCAGCACTTACATTGGACTTATAATGGTTCTTATCTACAGCAAGTTGTAAACCGGCTTATTTGATGAAATCACACTTTCTTGTTTCTTGTTCTTCTGACTTTGTGTCCTTGTGGTTGAAATGTTCTTATTGTAAGTCGCTTTGGATAAAAGCGTCAGATAAATGACATGTGATGTAAGAGTGACGATCAAAACTAAAAAGTACTACTTGATCAATGTGGTGGAAAAAATAATTTAACCGCTATTCAGTCTTTTGAATCAGCAGAGATGATCGGCTGCAATCTGCCGTCCCTGCAGGACTTGTTCGCTTCCAGGACCCTGAAGCAGCTAAAAAGATGGTAGCCGACCCCTCTCACCCCGGACAAAACCTGTTTGTGCCCCTTCCATCTGGCGGGAGGCTGAGCCATCAGGACCGGACAACAGAGCCGTCCCCCACTGACCCAGACCCCTTGGAACAGGAGTGGGCCCTGTGTGTACTGAACTATCCTCCAGGCATAGACAATGTGAACATACAAGTATTTGTTATCCAACACGAAGAAGAAGAGGCCTGTGTGTAAGCAGTCAGCTGCATGGATCACGATCCAAGCTTCCGATGCTACACAACAAGTTATGAAACTGTCCTATTTTATAAGAACATCAAATACATATTCCATTTTTCATTAAAGAAACTGTAAGACTGTACGCTCACTCAAAGGGTGAAGATCTAACGAGTTCAGAGCAAAAGGAAACCACTTACGCATTTACACAATATATTAAGTAGAATTATTCAGCAGGTAGACATTTTCCATTACAGTCACTAAAGTCTTTAAGTACATCTATCAAGTTGTATCTGATGAACCTTCTTTCTTGGGTCTGGTTCTGTTTTCTCGGTTCTCGGCTCTGTCTCACCTTGGTTCTCTCTTCCCAGTTCTGTGGCCTCGGTCCTACTGTCTGGGTCAGATCGGTTTCAATAATGGCAAATGCTCACCGAACGACTCACAAATGCATTTGATATTTATTCGATATACAAATGCACAAACACATTTCAAAGCACATATCGATAAATGACGTGGTTGCTTGCTGACCACGGACCTGTTGCATCGCCTCCGTAAGGTGCGCTGCTGTAACGCTGGGATGCTCGTGGGGATGGTCAGAGGGGAGGGGTCAGAGAAGAGGGGAGTGGTCAGAGAGGAGGGGTCAGAGGAGGGGAGGGTTTAGAGAAGAGGGGAGGGGTCGGAGGGGAAGGGGGCAGCTCTGATTGGTTGGAATGAGGGCGACATCTGATTGGCTACAGACCGGTCCATATTGAAAAAAATGCATTTGTGGATCTGTGACGTAAGACGAGTCTCAAAAAACCCACACGAATGTGAAGCAATCTGCAAAAATGTGTGCATTGAAATGTATTTAATGAAATTGAAGTTTAAAGTGAAATTGAAGTTGCTTTGGATAAAGATGACATGTAATGTCATATGCTTGATTTAACAGGGAGACCGTGCAGAGAAGCTAATACAGGAATAATGTGAGTTCAGCATCAGGAAGCTGCAGGTCGTCCAAGTTTTGATGTCTCCAAAACAATCTGAAGTCCAATAAGCTGGTCGGTCTCGACAGAGATGTTGAGTACCGTCTGCATAGCAATGGGAGTTTATGATTTACCTTGTGGGACTCGTGGCCAACATTGGTGGTCATCGAGGATTCACCGTTTACAAGCACAAACTAGGATCGATCCGATAAACAGGACTTGTTGCTGAGTGCCGTTCCTTTGTTACCAACCAGATGTTCTAGTCTCTGCAACAGGATTCAAGGGTTCAATCTATGCTGTCAAATGCATCTTGTTTCTCGCATCCCGGTTTTGTTGCCTCCATTCTGTTGTCTCGGTTCAGTCGTCTTGGTTCTGTTTCCACGGTTCTCATATTTGGGTTATCTTGGTTCTGTTGTTGTCAGGGCTCGGTGGCCTACGTCCCGCAGCAGGCTTGGATCCAGAACGCCTCTCTGAAGGACAACATCCTGTTTGGACGGGAGAAGAAAGAAAGCTGGTACCTCCGAGTGCTGGAGGCCTGCGCTCTGCTGCCGGACCTGGAGATGCTGCCTGCCGGGGACGGCACCGAGATCGGGGAGAAGGTACCGCCCCCTTTGTTGTTTGTTGTTGTTGGATGTGACTGTTTGTTGGTGCTGTGACTGTTTGTTGTTGTTTAGGGTCTGAACCTCTCCGGGGGTCAGAGGCACCGGGTCAGTCTGGCTCGGTCTGTTTACAGGAGATCAGATGTTTACCTGCTGGACGACCCGCTGTCGGCCGTCGATGCCCACGTGGGACAACACATCTTTGATAGAGTCATTGGACCCAGAGGTCTCCTCAAAGAGAAGGTGTGACCTTATACTTGATCACATGTCCTCATCATCTGCTTCCCCCTAAGAGACATGTTATGTGTCCTCTCAGACTCGGGTGCTGGTGACTCACGGCCTCAGCTTCCTGTCCAAAACCGACCTCATCCTGGTCATGTTGGAGGGCCACATCTCAGAGATGGGCTCCTACAAGGACCTGATGGACAGGAAAGGAAACTTTGCCAAATTCATCCACGCCTTCAACGGGAAGCGGCGCAGGGGAAGCTCCGCCTCCAGAGGGAGCTCCGCCTCCAGGGACAAGAGTAAGACATGCGTAGGCAGCAGGAAGTCGGCGTCCCGTCTCTCTGAGCTCTCTATCGATCTTCCACAGAAGCAACTGATCAGGTAAAGAAAGAACTTTAAAACAATAATGATCTGATTATCTTTTATATTTCATACCTGAAAGGTAAAAGATAGATGTGATTCATATCAAGATGATGTGATTGTAGTGATCAGTTAACGGTGTGTGTGTGTGTTCCAGCGGTGGTGCCACTGTTCATCTGATGGAGGTTGTTGATGCTGAGTGAGGCGGACAAGGCTCACACTGGACGGGTTTGTCTTCTTCCTCTTGTGAAATAAGTGTTGCTCGTTGTAAGTGTGTCAGAAACTCCGTCGTCCTGTTTTTACAGCTGGAACCCGCGTGTCTGTAATTATCGATCCATTTGTGGTCTGTCATCACTCGATGGTCTCTGGTCTCATTAGTGAGGGTCTCTGGTCACATTCACATTAGTGAGGGTCTCTGGTCTCATTAGTGAGGGTCTCTGGTCTCATTAGTGAGGGTCTCTGGTCTCATTAGTGAGGGTCTCTGGTCACCAACAAGCTGTGTTGGATCTTCCTCTGTCCCCTTTTAGCGAGTTAAGTCTTGTTGAACTTGGTTTGATTTCTTCTTTAGGATTTTCCTATATTCTACACTTTAGTTTTTTATAGCGCTTTTCTTGGTACACAGAGACGCTTTACTCTGTAAATCTAAGGGGGAAACGTACAGACATGAACACTACAGAAATACAAAATAAAATAAATGTAAGAAGACTAGGACGGTAGAAAGTGGAGACTGAGTCCTGTGGGGGTCGGCGTCAGAAGGCGCGTTTGAATGATCATACAGGGGGAGCCTGGTGGATTTGGATGGGGGGGCGTTCCAGAGGGGGGGTGCAGCAGCTGTCGGCCCCGGTCCGGCGCTCGGTCCTGATGGTCTTCAGGAGGTCTGACAGGTAGGAGGGGCTTTGTAGCTGATGAGTCCATCCTGCGTCTGACTGGGAGCCAGTGGAGGCTGTAGGACCGGCTCATGTGTCCATGGCGCCGGGTGGATGTGAGCAGGCGAGCTTTGTGGAGGCTTTAGTTGGGGGAGCCGTAGAGATGCTGGTGCAGTAGTCGAGTCTGGAGGTCAGAGACAGTTAGTTAGTAATTAATACTTGTAATTAATCCACAATAAAAGACTCTGCTTGTTGTGTCTTCTTCTGTGGTCAGGTTAAGCTGCAGATGTACCGGGAGTACTTCCGGACCGTGGGCCCGACCATCATCGCCGCCATCGTCTTCCTCTGTGCCTTCCAGCAGGCCGCCTCGCTCGCCTACAGCTACTGGCTGAGCCTGTGGGCCGACGAGCCGGCGCTCAACGCCACGCGGAGCCACCAGCTGAGGCTGGGCGTGTTCGCCGCCCTGGGCCTCACGCAGGGTGGGTCAGAGGTCAAGGGTCAAGATCCATTACATGTTCACACTGGTCGTTGTCACTGCGCGTCCCACATTGTAGTTGCTGCACGCTGATCGACAGGATGATTGTCAGAGACGTATATGGCGTCTCATCCTCATGTGGTCACCTGTTGATAAAGTCTCTTCAGATTGTCCTCTCAGTTTTCTCATTTCAGTCAAACAGGAAGTGGCCACTGTCACTTCCTGTTCTGCTAGTGCGTGCCGAGTTAAACATGCCGCCTCGGGTCTTTCAGGTGCGGCCATGTTTGGGACCACGCTAGCCATTGCCTTGGGCGGCATCGTGGCGTCCCGCCACCTCCACGCCGACCTCCTCCTCAGCGTGCTGCGCTCGCCCGTCTCCTTCTTCGAGGCGACGCCCAGCGGGAACCTCCTGAACCGCTTCTCCAAGGAGGTGGACGCCATCGACTGCATGATCCCCGACGGGCTGAAGATGATGCTGGGCTACCTCTTTAAGCTCCTGGAGGTCTGCGTCGTCCTGTTGCTGGCCACGCCCCTCACCGGGCTGGTGCTCCTCCCCCTCGCCTGCATCTACATCTTCATACAGGTGAGGACCCACACAGGGCGTGGACCAGGTTCCCCTGGAGCGGGCGGTGACGAATTCTTCTCTTCGCCTCGCTGCTCAGAGCTTCTACGTGGCGTCCTCATGTCAGCTGCGGCGTCTGGAGGCCGTGAGCCGCTCGCCGGTCTACAGCCACCTCAACGAGACGGTGCAGGGCGCCGCCGTGGTGCGGGCCTTCGGCGAGCAGGGCCGCTTTGTGCTGGAGGCCGACCGCCGCGTTGACCGCAACCAGGAGGCCTACTTTCCTCGCTTCGTCGCCACCAGGTACCAACTTTAATACTGATCGTATACATTTGATGTTTATTTACATTTTATTGACGTTTTACAGCTTTATTTACATGTTTGATAGGTGGTTGGCGGTGAATCTCGAGTTTCTGGGGAACCTTCTGGTTCTGGCTGCAGCCGTCCTGTCGGTTAGAGGTCGAGATCATCTGAGCCCCGGCATCGTGGGACTAGCAGTGACCCACTCGCTCCAGGTTCAGAACGACAGCTTCCGTCTGCCTGTCTGGTCCGTCCGTCTGTCTGACCTCCTCCTGCATGTTGCCAGGTTACTGGGATCCTCAGCTGGATCGTTCGATCCTGGACCGACGTGGAGAACAACATCGTGTCGGTGGAGCGAGTCAAAGAGTACGACAGCACCGACAAAGAGGTCTGCTGCGTCCTCCTTTAACTCCCACAGGTGTCTTCTAGTTCATTTCTTTACCATGACCCCCCCCCCCCCCCCAGGGAGGCTGGGTCCCTGGAGGGAACAAGCTGCCGGCAGACTGGCCGGCGACTGGAAACCTGCAGTTTGAGGGCTACGGACTGCGGTACCGTAAAGATTTGGACTGGGCTTTAAACAACATCTGCGTCAACATCCAGGACCGAGAAAAGGTTTGATATTAAAGAACATTCTTAGAATGCTAGAATACCACTCTGATGGTACAAGTATCTTTTCAGGGTGGGAGAAAACCAGCAAATATTTAATTCCCTGCACCCCCCCCACTTGGTAGCTAGCATGATGCTAGTGGTGGAGCAGGTTTGGCTAACAGCTGTGTGGAAATCAATCAATATAATTATTAATAATGACTAAATAAATAAGTAATGGGGAAGCAGAGAGTTCGTTGCGATGTATCGTGTGTTGGACCACTGTGTAAATGTCAGTGGGGGACTCGGCCTCCTGCAGAGGGAAGGAGCGGGTTTAAAGGGGTCCGCTTCAATCTTCTTTGCCCGTCCCAAAGTCAAAGGAGTCTTGGGTGACGGGCGTGTAGAAGTGCACCATCATCGCCTTTGGCAGGTTGAATTTCTTCAGTTCTTCAGAAATCCACAACCATCTCCACTGTCTTCAGAGCGTTGATTACTGACACCCATCTGCAGGTGGGCATCGTTGGGAGGACGGGGGCTGGGAAGTCCTCTTTGGCTTTGGGAATCTTCAGGATTCTGGAAGCAGCGAAAGGACGAATCTTCATCGACGGAATCAACATCGCTGAGATCGGCCTCCACGACCTCCGATCCAGGATCACCATCATCCCTCAGGTGAGCTTAAGTGCTGCATCAATGGGAACTGATAATGATGGACACGTCGATCCAGTGATCACTTGATTGGCTGTTGGCTTTGAGGTGACCTCCGACCTTTCGTCCCCAGGACCCTGTGCTATTTTCAGGTTCCCTGAGAATGAACCTTGACCCCTTTGATGTCTGTTCGGACGAGGATTTATGGAAAGCTCTGGAACTGGCTCACCTGAGCAGCTTCGTCTCCGCGCTGCCTCAAAAACTGAACCATCAGTGCTGTGAAGGAGGCGAGAACCTCAGGTGGATCCACATACTCACCAGTCTTCTTCCTGTCTGTCCAAGTGTCTGACTATCTGCCGTGCTTTGCCGTCTATAATATTATAGTATTTGTGGTAAAAATACTTGTCCTCCTCTGTGATTGGCTGGATGCTTTAAGCCCCACCCCCTTTAAGTGGGGTCCTCACAGACAGAACAGCAGCTTCCTAAGAAATTCCATTAAGGACAAACTCTTAATGCGTAACCTCGCTCACACAACACGTCAGTCCATCACAATGTGATCAGAAGGCGCCTGCAGATCACGTGACCTGCCGTTGGGATGATGGAAACAACAACAACAACAACAACAACAGATGTATCTGACTTAAGCAGAAAAAAACACAACCCATTTTCCAGTGACACGAGACTGCAGTGTCTCCCTCATCAAGGGGGTCCGCAGAGGTACTGCAGTGGGGTCGCAAAATATTTGGTTGATTCAACCAATTTTTCCCCCACAAATGTAAATGTCTTCAGAATGAGAATTGTATTTATTGTTAACATGAATCAAACGTATTGTAGAAACGGAACAATTGATGGAGGAGACGTTGTCTTTCAGTCCCACAGCAGCTCTCAAGCTGATACGACATCACAGGCAATCAGATCCATTCATGCTCACGTCTAAAGACGGAGGGCGGACCAAACCCCGTAGAATAGGGGGTCCCTGCTCCATCTCGCCATCACTCTGGGGGTCCTTGGCCTGAACATGTTGAAGACCCTGGTTATTGATCAAAGGGTCATACGATGAGGGCGGTCACACTGTGGCTTGAAGCGGCTGCGGGTCGTCCACCTTACAGAAGTAAATAAAAGTGTGTGTCCGTGTTGTTTCAGCCTCGGTCAGCGGCAGCTGCTCTGCTTAGCCAGAGCTCTGCTGAGGAAGACCCGGATCCTGGTTCTGGATGAAGCCACAGCAGCGGTGGACCTAAAGACAGACCAGCTGATCCAGTCCACCATCAGAACCCAGTTTGACGACTGTACCGTTCTGACCATCGCTCACCGCCTCAACACCATCATGGACTACAACAGGTCTGATATGTTTGCGTCTATGGACGAGTATAATGAATATTAGTGTTTTTAGATGGATCAGTACTTTGTACTACTGACTGTCCCGTCCGTATGACCCAACGTCCCGTCTCTCTTACTCTTCATCCCGTCTCTCTGACTCTTCATCCCGTCTCTTTTACTCTTCATCCCGTCTCTTTTACTCTTCATCCCGTCTCTTTTACTCTTCATCCCGTCTCTTTTACTCTTCATCCCGTCTCTTTTACTCTTCATCCCGTCTCTCTGACTCTTCATCCCTTCTCTCTTACTCTTCTTCCCGTCTCTCTTACTCTTCATCCCGTCTCTCTTACTCTTCATCCCGTCTCTCTGACTCAATTGAGTATGTTAGACATACAAGACATTACATGTCTTGTAGAGGCTATTGTCTAGCGGGATACACACTAGTGCGATGGCGAACAGATAACCACACTCTACACAGTTGTGTAGTGTCTCACCCCTTTGCCTGTCTGTCTGATCTCAGGGTCATTGTGATGGACCGCGGCTACATTGCAGAGATCGATTCTCCGTCTGAGTTGATCCGTCTTCAGGGTTTCTTCTATCAGATGTGCGCCGAAGCCGGTTTGGTCTGAAAAATGTCCATGTGTGTTATCGTCATCTTCATCATCTTCATCATGTCTACCATCTTTATCTCCTTCATCTCGGCAGACATCACAAAAGAAACACTACTGTGAAATGTGTGTATTTGATGTGCGTTTGATTTGTTCACCAGGAATCACACATGAACATGTGACCAGATTTTTTCTATTTGATTTGATATGACATCACGGCGGCTTTAGGGTTGTGACATTCAATAATAGACAATAACCAGATGCACTGTGTTTAGTGTTTGTAGTTTACATCATCATCTGTCCACGGGGAGCTTTTCTAAATAATAAAAATTATGAAAAGATGAAAGAGATCCATCCATAGGTACGCGTTTAGATACGTACACACAGTACAAGGATTTGTGTGTGTGAACTAAGCTGTCTCTCTCTAACCGTTATTTGATGCCTCTATTAAAAAACGTAAAGTATATAAAAACGTAAGAATTGGATAACATTTTCAATATAATATACAGAATATAACTGTCTTCCAACAGAATATAACAATTCTGTTGGAAGACAGTTCCATATTTTTACTCCTCCAACCGAGAAGACCGATTGTCCAAATGAGGTCTTTCCCAGAGCAATACGACTTTATTGATTTTGGTGTGGGATATTTCAATAAAACTAGTTTGGGGGAAGAGAATAATTTCTTCCAATGTTTATTTAATAAAACAAAGTCTTGATGAAAGTTGTGAAAGTCCATTTATTGCTTACAAGCAGGAGGTCAGAAACACAAACACGTGTCCCGGTGCTCTGTGGACACGGCGTCTCCGAGCAGTCAAAGCCGTGACCTTTTATACACACACGTGGAGGTTCGAATCCCAACTACTAGAGCACATGGGAGATATGAACACGGTTCAAATGGGGAAACTCACAGTTCCTTTGTGGACTCGCCCTCCTTTCTTCACACACAGCTGCAATTAAAACGTGGAATCATTCTGCTTTTCACACGTTACATTTTTAGCATATGACTGATATGAATGTTATAACTGTTTTACCATTACATCTTCCACATTGTTTTATATTTTACATCTGGACTTTACGCGCCTCAAATTTCACTGTTTGTAAAATGATTTCAGTTTATCAAAGATACAATAATAATACTGATAACAATAAATGATAAAATAATAGTTGATTTGATAGAAGGGGGAGCATCTACTCGTTCTGCTGCAAAGTGAAGCGATTAGACCTTGTAAATAATATCTGGACTCTTTATTTTATATAAATATAAAGAAACAAAATCCAAGAAACCAGATTTCAACTGGTTTTAACTGGTTTATCTGGATTCAGATGGAGTAAGGAAGTAAGAAGACTGGAAAAACACACACAGTGTGTCCATGAGGTACTGAGTCAAATGAATCACACACACACACACACACACACACACACACACACACACACACACACACACTTCCTATCTTGTGTTGTTTCTTCATCAGTCTCATCATGAATGTCCGTCGGGTCGGCAGCACTTTGATTCTTCTGTTCTCGGTTACAGGAGGTGAGACGCACACACACACATGAATACACATACACCTGTATAGTATAATGCATTTATTATATTATATATGTATATATATCAGTACGAGGGAACACACACACACACACACAGGGTAGGCAGTGCGTACCTTAACTTAACCTAACGTACTATTTTGTATTGTAACTAAACACAGCATTTCTTTCTAACTTAACTTAACGTTGTACTTCGTATTGTAACTTATCTTAACAAAGTATTTCAACCCTCACGCTAAAATATAAAGAACAACGTTAAGTTTAGAAATACTATGTTAAGTTAGAAAATACTACGTCATGTTAACCTTAAAGTAGAACTTTAAGCTAACGTAGTTTTTCTACCAGCAGCGCTCGTTGCCGGGGACGACGGCTGGTACACAAAGGTGCAGGCGGAGGTCCGAGCCGTGGAAGGCTACCCGGTGGTGCTGCCCTGCACCTTCAGCCACACGCAACACCACCAGCACTCCACGCTTCAGGTGCTATGGCGTCTCGGCCACGGCCATGGCGCCGCCGTCCTGTACCGCTGCCTCAGCGGGCCCGGGGCCTCCGTCTGTGAACCCGATCCCCAGCAGGATCGGCGCTACCGGCTGGAGGGAAACCCCAGGGAGCATGACCTCTCGCTGCGGATCAACGCCGCCGCCCTGCAGGACAGCGGTCGCTACTACTGCAGGGTGGAGGTCCAGGGACGGGACCGGGTCGGCTTCGAGGACAAGATGGGAACCCGGCTGAGGGTGGAGGGTAGGTCAAAACCTCTTCGGAGCCAGCTCAGAACTTTGCCGGAACCACACTCACTCCCTTGTCTCCACAGCCCCTCCCAGGATCCTGGCCCTGTCAGTGGAGGGTGACGAGGGGTCCGGATACCGAGCCCTGTGTCGCGTTCGGGGTTCTCCACTGCCGGACGTCCAGTGGCTCGGCCCAGACGACCCCCTGGACGGTTCCTCGGTAGTTCCACCGGCTCAGGGCTTGGAGGACCACTTCCTCTCCGTCAGCCAGCTAAGGGAGGTGGAGCCGGGGCGGCGTTACACCTGTAGCGCCTCCAACCCGCTGGGCAAGGAGCAGGCCGCCCTCTACGTCCTGCCCCCCCAACGCCTCCTCTCTGTGGGTGGGGCGCCACCTCCTCTGCTCTTCCTCCTGTCCCTGTCTGCGGGGGCCAAGCTCCTCCTCCTTGTGGGGGTGGTGGTGTGGATGCTGAAGGGAGGAGCTCAGCGAGGAGTTGGCGGCTAGAGGAAGTAACCAGATTATGTTGTCATGTGATTTGTCATGTGACAGAGGAAGTGGATCAATGTCAGTGTACTTGTACCATAAATTTAGTGTATTTTACAGAAAAAACTTAACTAAATAGATGTGAGAATATTTTAAACATCACCAAGTTATTATAGTTTTTCCATGTACTGATGATAAACATCTATAACTTCCTTTTTAACTAATGAATGTGGGAACACATGTTTTCTTTTGTGATGTGAAATAAATAATTTTCTTGTGATATTCATTGATGCTATCAACAGAATAAAATGTTGTTTTTCAGTATGAAACCTTAATAAAAAATAAAAAATTGATTATTAATGTTCAAATAATATTCAGAGGAAATAATAAATGACGGATACAAACATTTGAATAGATTAATTGGAATATTCTGTGACATCAGAGATTAAATATAGTTTATTGAATGAGATGGGTGGAAAGAAAGTGGAGTCAAACAAACAACTTTCACCCAGGAGACCCAGTTCGAGTTCCGTGTGAGACTTATTACAAAGAGAATACATTCTATATTAGTACACATATTCATATAGAATATATTATGTATTAATACCAAACCAAAACCGTTGGGCTGAAGGTAAAAACAAATTAAAACCAGGATTTCACTGTATAGACGTTTTTACTGGTCGTCGTGGCGCAGGGGGTAGAGAGGGTCCGCTGGGAACCGCAAGGTTGGTGATTCGAGTCCAGGCTGCTCCATGTCCCATGTCAAAGAGTCCCTGAGCAAGACTCCTAACCCCTAATTGCTCCCCAGGCAAAAATGTAAAAAAAGCCATGGTTTAAAAATGTAATATAAATCGCTTTGGATAAAAACGTCTGCTAAATGACCTGTAATGTATATCTATGATAATAATGTTTATTTAAGCTGCAAAATAGATCAAAGACCACACTGTTAGAAATAAGCTAGCTGGTGAGATAGCTGCAGCTAGCATTAGCTATGGCTACGTTAGCCGCCTCCTCCTAGTGTCTATTTTGTTAATTCACATTTAAGTTAGCAGAGTAGCTTTAGCCTCCATCTACAGCTAACCAGCTTTTCTACCTTTAGACACTAAGACCTATATAGAGTTTAGGTTCTAACTCTAACCGCATCTACTCTTCTTACTCGAATAGTACAAAAACTCCAGAACTCTCCAGTCTAAAGACCCTTAACTTTCTCTTCCTTCCGGAACCTACTACCTATCCAGAGATATATATATAAAGGCTAGACGTCCGCACATGGTGGCCAACTTGCTACAGTGAACTCGCTCACCCATAATATTGTGTTGGTAGTGATACATGTACTTCAAATAATAATAATTTTTAAACAGTTGTAGCAAGATGGCCGCCATGTGTGGACGTTCCACTCCATTGGCCGGCAATGCGGATGAGACATCTAGCCTTTATATATGTCTATGCTTCCTATTTACAACTACTTCCTATCTACACCTAGGTCCTGTCTACAACTACTTCCTGTCTTTAGTTACCTTCCTCTCCACATTTCCGTCCTTCCTCCTGTCTTTACCAATTTCCTGTTTTCACTTATGTCCTGTCTAAACTGTGGTATAGTTTATAATTATGGAATAATGTGTCTTTCCTTTTGGTGTAATATGAGCTGTAGCATTGATGGATGGGGGCTTGAGCTGTTGATTCTAATAATGTAACTAACCTTCCTAATGTACAGGAATGTCATGGATGAAAGTTGGGAGGTTTATGAATCCTCTAAAGAGGAAATAACACGCTCTCCCTGTAGCAGAAGGGACGGGCAGCCTCACAGCAGTGCCTCTTGCTCCACCCGAAGGATTTGTTAATGTCAAGACTCATCATGGCACACTGACCCTCCTCTACCGTGCCAGGCTCCCCCCACCCCCAGTTGGTGTCGTTGACCGGGGCCCCGTTCAGCCAGTACCACTGTCCGGACTGGGAGCTGCGACGCATGCCGATCCACACCTCCGCTAGGCTCCCGTTCGTGACCCGGAGGATCTTCTCGTGGATTGGTCTCCGGTGATGATCCCCGGGGAGGCTGGCCAGCTGCAGGTCCTGATCTCGGCAGTACTGCAAGGACTCTCGCCAGCCGGCGGCCACTTCTCCGATCTTTACAACATCTGGAGACAAGGCGCATCCCTGGGAATCTGTGTGTGTGTGTGGGACAGAAACAAACCGGAATGAGAAGAAACCACCAATGTCACTTTTCTGCATCCACCTGTAGAGGGCCAATTGCAACAGTTGGCATGGTGGCCTGTCAAGCTTGTGATTCCAACACATGTCGGAGCTCTAGTTATCGTTCACACTGGTATAAATGTTGTATTTGGCAGCTGAACTGTTGTGCGGTTAGTGTTTCTCTACCTGCAGTTTTACCAAGGACGGCTGCCGGGTTCCCAAACCAGGTGCCGTTCTTGTTCCCGACAAAGTAGACGGCCATCGTGGAGGAGGAGTGCCAGACAGTCTGGTTCTGCTCGAGCGGAACAACCACAGAAATGTAGTCTGTCCCGTTCAGCGGCTCCCACTTTAGATTCTCCAAACGAAGACTCCCAATGTGCAAACCGTCACTGTGATTCTTGTGGACCCCCCCATGGAAGAAGCACTGCGAATAAGGGATGGCTTTAACCATGTAGCAGCCGGCAAAGTCCTAAACCGGGATCAGCGTGAGCAGCAGACCGGCCCAGTAGAGATCACTGTGCCGCCGTCTCCACCAGGCGGCGAGTCGCTGTGAAGGCTTTTATTTCAGACCTGTTTCTGTTTGACACAGCACAGACCCTTTCGGTTCCACCGAGCAGGCCTGGGAGGGATGTAGAACTTCTGCAGGTTGTCCGTTGCTGGCGGAAGTGAGGCCATCAGCTGCCCACAGGTGCAGTTGATCCGGATGGCGCAGGTGTGACCGAAGAGCACCGACACCGGCTGATTGGCCGCCAGGGAGCGTAGAGCGCCTCCTTTGCGCACCCAGGTCTGGAAGACGTCGTGCGGCTTCAGTGAGACGCTGAGGTCTCCACCGGTGAAGTTTATTGTGTTCTGGTGTTTTCCATTGATGATAGTGAGCTGGAACAAACTTCTCTCTGTGACGTTGAGGGTGAAGATGGCCTGCGACAGCGTGGTCCCTTCGATGTCTGGCACCGGGGGTACGAAGTACTCTGTGGCCAGCCGGTTGGTGGGCAGCACTAGAGCCGTCTGTACGCTGTTGTTTTTAAAGTAGATGGCGTTCACCAAGACAGGGCTGGTGCTGTGGATCAGGAGGATGCTTTTGGAGAAGGAACACCACCGAAACTCCAACCTGGCGTCGATTATGAAGTCTTTCGACTGTCCTTCACTCAGCATGTGGTTCTCGGTGTGAAAGCTCTGCTGGTCAATGGTGACGTTGGTGTTGTTGTACAGGGCCGTGATCTGGACCATGTTGGTGGGGGGGAAGGGGTAGTAGTAGGCGATGTTCTCCGGGAAAGCTAAGACGAACTCCAGGCCCGCGCTGCCTTCAGCAGGAAAGGGTGGGGATGCTAAAAAAAACAAATACATGCAAAGTGGTTTAGCTCATTGGAGTTCTTTAAACTCCTGTGAGTATCTGCTTGATTCCTTCTGATCAACACGTTTAAAGGTAATTCAATTCCAGTAACATGACACTAAATTGGAACTAATAAAATAAATACTTTCTGCTGGTATCAAATGAAGGTAGAGTGGAAGGAACCAACACCACACCCAATAAACTAGTATAATTATAGCTAATTAACAGGAGTCCGAGACTAGACTACTGTAATTCACTTTGGAATCACTGGCAAGAATATCACAAAACTACATCCAAATACATCCAAAACAGTGCTGCCAGG